GTTTCATCGTTCTAATATAGCTTCTATTCTATTCGAAATTGACATTGATATTGAAAAATGCACAAAACCGTTTGTCAATATTAAAGATTTAAGTTACGTTCATGATGAAGATGAAGTTTTTTTTCGACAGGTATAATTTTCCGAATTCTTTCTATGCGAACATTGGATGGCATTTGGTATGTCAAATTAATGATAAATGGCGAAGAAGATCAACAGTTAAGCATACTGGCCGACTATATGAGAACAAAAAACTAGTGTTCTCATCTGGGAGTTCTTATGATACTCATGGGAGAATATGATAAAGCAGATCAATATCTGCATCTTCATAACACGCTCTCTGATGATTGTGATATAGGAGCGCGATGTTATAATATGGGCTCACTTTATTCACGTCAAGGTTTATATGAAGAATTGGAAAGAAGCACTTGTTCATTTTGAAAAAACACATGAAATTAGTTTGAGGACGCTTCCAGCAAATCAGCCAGCGTTAAGCTCATTGTATAATAACATCGGACTGGTGTATAATGAACAAGACTTATATACAAAGGCATTAAATTACTATCAAAAATCTCTCACAATTGCTCTAGCATCTCTTCCTGAAAATCACCCTAGTATCGCCACAACGTACAATAATATCGATTTAATATATTGTAATCTAGGTTCTTATGTTGAAGCAATGGATTATTTGCAAAAAACGCTTAAAATTCAATTAGTAAATCTTCCACATACTCATCCGGATATCGCAAGAACATATCGCAATATCAGACATCTTTATGTTTATCAACAAAATGCTTCAGAAACATTAAAACAGTACTTGAAAGCGTTGAAAATCTATTCGCAATCCCTGCCATCTAATCATCCTTAAATTTTGCGAACTCAAGATAATATTAAAACTGTGAAACAAAGATTAGAAGGCGAAAAAATTGTTTTCACAAGTGATTTTAATTGCATAAATATTAAAACACGTGTTTTTTTTATAGCGATAACCTGAAACTTTTGTCATAAACACTGTGTTATTTCACCCTGTCGGATCGTGCACATGGCTTGGAAGTTAGCTGTTTTGTGTTATGAATATTAGTTTAAAAAAGCTGATTTTGTGCATCTGATGTCTTGCTCACCTTTGATAATGCTGAGTGTGCATTAGCAACGACTCTGCTAGAATGTTTTGGGTACAAGAAACGGTTTTTTCTTCGTCAGTTTGGGACTCTGTCAGAGTATAGTGTTTATCAAGGCTACTACACAACGACACAGTACAGGAATTCGAATCTACAACATCATCGATCATCAGTAATATTTTAAATTTATTATACCAATATTGTTTGTTGATAATAATTTTAGAAACGAAAAGATTAATTGTTAATCATAATTAATTTACATGAAAACATCACGTTTTTAACAACGTTTTAACGTCTCTTAACAACCGGTTTCTCTTCTTCTTCAAGATACCATCAAATAACCTTCCGAGATACACCGTGCTGGTTCATCCC